TCATTCCATCACACGCCAATCTCAAGCGTTTTACGTAGATCCATTTACAATCGAAGGAAGAGAGAGAAGGAGGAATAAAGATTGGAGGAGAAATTACACAGAGATCGAGGAATGGAAGAAACTTCGGCTTTACCGCCGCAAAGTCACACCAAAGAATAGAGTCACAACCAAGAGGGCGTACTCGCCATTAAATTCGAACACGACCTCGAGCCTGTCATACACTCAACTCAGATTACTTGTCCGCATTCTGACGCCGACGATCCCGGCCGTCGCGCATCATCCTCCACCATTGCAATCGTCACCTCGCCAACTTAGTCTCGAAGTGGCTTGCTCGGATCCCACCGTCCGTCCTGGCGATCTAGGGCACCGCCAGCCAGTCTACAGTCAGCTCGTCAGGACTTTCCGACTCGTACCGTACACATCACCTAGCCACTACTTCCCGGAAGCCGATGAGTTGAGAGAGAGTTTTGCAGGGGTGCTGGCGGAATTTATAGTTTCGAGATGATAGAGAAATGCGGAGAAGGGTGAAGGGCAAGGCAGAGGAGGGCATGGGAGAGTTTGCAAGTAGCTGTCTATCGAAAGGCTCGAAAGCCATGTTGATCCTCTTAACTTGACCTCAACCAATCAGAATCGTCGTGCAGTAAGAACTTACACGGCACTTCTCCTTGGTTAGGCGGGGAGAGAGAGAATCGACTGGGTTTTCAAGTGCGGATTTTAGAGCGGGAAGAGGAGCGCCAAGGATAGCACGAAACGGGTCCAAGATCCAGATGATCAAGAAGGAGAAAGAAAAAAGACGCGTGCTGAGGAAAGGGAGGGAAAAGCAATTACAGGAGGCGGGGGCGAGGAAGCGTGCGCGCGCGAAGAGGGATGGTGAGAGGAACGCGAGGGAGGAAACAGGAGGGAGCTTGCTGGCATGGCGTCGGTGGGCAAGAGGGGAATGGGCACCAAAACGGTTGCAGTTTTTCCCAATCCTGTGCTAATTCAAAAATTGAAAATACCATACTCACGCGCAAAGCAGACGTGGGAAAGAAAAATCTTCCGTCGATCCATATTTGTACAAGAATTTCCCAGAGTTTTCAAGGTCGAGGTCGAGAACATTCGCGCGCGGAAGGTCGCGCGGTATTCCGATAATTCCAGGATTTCTAACTGCCGAGCCAAATTCCAAGCGCACTCTTTAAGGCGCGTGAAATTCCCATGCAAACAAAACAAGGAAAAAGGGAAAGGGGCTGAGAGATTTCCGCAAGGTACCTTTAATCCGGCATAGACAGAGAGGGGAGGGGAGGGGGGTCAGACTATACACATCTGGGTGTAGGGAAAACAAAACGGAAGGGGTCCGGAAGATGGCGCAGATCTGGAAACTAGTATGTCACACGCGTCTTCTCTCTCTCTCTCTCTCTCTCTCTCTCTCTCTCTCTCACACACACACACACACACAGACACAGACACACACACACACACACACACACACACACACACACACACACACACACACACGCACACACACACATGACAGCGACTACTTCATGCGTTATTGGACTGCCACGACAATTCTACATACCCGCAGTCGCTCACCCACACTGCCCATCACTTCCTGCGTTCTCGGAAGACCACAACGACGCTACACTCCGCGTGCATCCCCGCAGTCACACCCAGTGTCACCCACCAGTCGCATCCACACCGAAATTGTCTTTGGAACGAAAGTCTGAATGTGGATGTAGAAAACACCCACATACATGAACCCGGATAATTGTGAAAACACCCACATACATGAACCCGGATAATTGTAAAAAAAGACCCTTCGAGACGCACACGCCATAACGGACGAGGGCGAGCCCAAAGAAAAAATTTCCTGTGTGTGCCCGATGTCTAAAAGACCATCTCCCGAAAAGGAAAGTGAACGGTGACCACCACCACCTACACCAACTGCACTCACGCCCTCGAACTTCTCCACCTGACACACGACCCATCTATCTCCTGCCCCCGACCACACCCTTCCCCTGCACCGCACGACGCCCTGTAAACCCCTCTAACTTGTCATCGACATGCCGGACGCGGCAAACGACCCCTAGAAGACAAAAGTTGTCACCGCAAAATGCAGCCTACTTGCTGCGAATACGGTACATGGGATTCATTCTACCCTTCAGGGATACCGCCCTAGGCCTCTTCGTCATTAAAATGAATAGGGCTGTGTATGCATCAGATTCACGATCCTGTAGGGCCCTTGAGGGACCAGTTGGCCTCTAGTACCCCACATGGAAAACATTGGGCGCGAAGTAGTAGCAAACGACCGAAAGGTTTTGGCCTGGGGGGGGGCTTTCTACCAATTATCCGGTTCATGAATCTGGCGAAAAAACAGCACCAAATTCTTGCACCCGTAAAAACAGGCCTAGGGAGATGTGGCCAGGGCGCGGAGGCACCTTTCACTCACGCTGAAGCCGTCAGGGCCTGTTGTACCAAACGGCCGAGTTTCGGGCTCCCCAAACCGAAAAGGATTTTTTTTTTTTTTTTTTTTTTTTTTTAACCGAAAAGGTTTTGGCGTGGGCTCTTTCTACCAATTATGTCATGGTTCAGGCGCCCCAAACGGCCAACTAGGAGTGTGGTAGAAATGGTAGGGGAACCAGGAGTAATGTCGAGGTTCTCCGACCTCCTTTTCATCAAGTCGAAATTAACTATTGAAGATTGACGAAAAAAACAATTAAAAATGGCACGTGAGGAAAGAAAGCAAGGAAAAAACGCCCAACGAGGAGCTTCAAATCTATGCCGCTCACTTTAAAATACAAGCGGCAAGCTTTGGGAACAGCCAGTGCAGGGAAGGATACAAATGTGTCTTCGAAGTTTAATGATTTCTCCACTTGAGAAGTGACGCTGAGGGCATTTTCACACTAGCACTAGTCTACTTCGGGCCGGGATTGCAGTCAGATGCATACAGGTCCTATCGTAAATGCAATCAGATACATTTTTAAATAGCGCTAGTGCAAGCAAGCCCTGCCAGTGGTACAGGTTCCCAGCAGGTGTTGTTCGACATGAAGGAAACTGAGCTCCCTTCGTGAAGGGGAAAGTTATAGAACCTCCCCGCAACAAAACCTTTGTACTCATTTTTGCCCCAAATGGCGCAAATGAGTGATGCAGGCCGCAAAATGAGTTTTTTACCTCATTTTTGCCCCCTGGAAAACACTTTCCCACCATTTTTGCCTACGGGAGTTACCTGCCCAGCCACTCGAAAAGTCATTTTGGGTCCTGCAAACCCTTTTGCCTCTTCTGGGGGAAATGAATGCAAAGGTTTCACGGAGGGGAGGTTCTATAACTTTTCCCACCTTTTAACGCACAGGGACCATAGCCCAATTGAGGAAGTTTAGGTCTGCGCTAGGGTGACCACGTTGAAAAATATTCGAAACCAGAACTAATTCTCCTCAAGTACCACATGCCACGTGGCATACGGACCCCCAATGAGGCTAAGCCTCGGGCTCTTATACTTCACATCACAGAAAGCGGGTGTCAGTGTTGGCGCTATTGGGCAGGGGGAGACTAGCTGAAGTACCCAATCCTACCAAACAAGCACTCGTAGCTTCACAGGTTAGAAATCACTCTAAAACTACATAGAACCTGAAGAAAACTTTCTGAAAACAAGGAACAGAAAAACAATGAGACAGAAAGCCAATGACGAAGAAAAGTTAACATAAGAAGGGGCTCGGGGGGAGGGTTCTGTCAGAAAATAAGAAATAAAAAGGGGTAACTTCGGCGCAGTCACGAAAACAGTTTGTAATTGCACTTGAGGCGATCCCGCGAACACAACACACCCCCACGCGACCCCACCGGACCCGAAACGTGGGTTATATACATTCAGCATTACCGGCCCTTTTGCCTCAAGTGCAATTACAAACTCAAACCCTGACTGCGCCGTAGTTTTCTCAAATAAACATTAACGTTCTTGACAGTTCTTCGATCAAACCAACAGAAAAAAAAAACAAACTCCACAGACTCAAGTAAACTTCTTAAACTGAAGGGGATCTGCCCCTTGCCACGGTTGGTAGGTAGCTACTATTGCGAGAGTCCCCTGACTCCCCTGTTTAGCCTTAGGAGAAGTTGTAGCTAGGCCGTGGAACTTTGAATTCGAGAGGGAAAAAAAGGTAGTTTGAAGGCTAGGTCGTGTATATGCCGAGGACAAGCGTGAGCACAATGCGCAACTCCAATTTTGTCCGTACATACTCGTGGGCACAACGGGAAAGAAGAATATCAACACCACGCAAAATTATAAGACAGCAAGCGCGTCGGGAATATTCCAACGTACAGCTCCCGATGCCAGAACTCCCACCAGTCATTTTTGACATTGCTACGGAAACCCAGAATCCACAGTGGCAAAACAGAATCTTTGTCAAAGAATAATTCTTACTCCATCTTAAAAGACCTGCCACTCGAAGATTATAATAGACGACAGACAGACAGACACAATTTGTGATTGTGTGTGTGTATGTGTGTGTGTGCATGTGTCACAGAGTGGTGTGTATGTACGAAAGAATGCAAGAAAGAGAGAGAGAGACAGACACAGAGAGAGAGAGAGAGAGAGAGAGAGAGAGAGAGAGAGAGAGAGAGAGAGAGAGAGAGATCATACCACATCGTGTTGTCAGGACTGCTCTTGCAAATGATTTCTCATGCAGTCAGAAGTTGAGAAGAATCGAAGTCAGGACGGGTTTAGGTATTCGCTGCTCTCCCTAAATTATCCTTGTAAATTTGCCTTTCTACTTGGGAATCTGACGATCTGTAGTCAAAGCAGGTTTCTTCAGGGGAATATAAACTCAGTGTTTTGAAGTTCTCAGTCTGCTCTCTGCTCTCTCTCTCTCTCTCTCTCTCTCTCTCTCTCTAAAACTAACTATCTGAAACCGTAACAGCAACCTGAAAAAGATGGTGCAATGTCCTTACACCTAAGAATATGCATATGTAGTATGTACACCTTCTCCCCCGTGATAGGAATCGTGCGATTTTCAAGAGCCGCTCTCCCAAGCGCTTAGTGATCCCATTTATTGTAGCAGACGTAGGCCTTACTCTAATTTACCATCATTCATGCGTGAGTTCTACCATCCTCCTTCTGCGGGGTCGCTACGTGTGTGTCCTCGCGTACATGCCTGCCGTGACTACGCGTTACCCTACCCTACCCTATCTACAGGTCTTCTAGTTTTTTTTTGCTTCCCTTCTTTGGAAGCGTCTTCTAGAGTATGATTTGCGTAAATAAACACTCTTCTCTCGAGTCTCGGCCGATCCACGGCAGTTACCGGAAGGTCTTGTCCGTCTTCACCACGATGCAGGCCCTAGGGTTCTTGTGCCCGTTGTTGAAGTTTCCTCCGTCCTCGTACTGCGCCGCGCTGATCTGGACCTTGATGCACGCGTTCAGGAAGTCGCTGGGATTGCCAACGTTGAACTCGCGAGATGCGAGGTGCCTGCCGTTGCCGTAGAGCCGATGCTGGCACGCATTCGTGTTCCACTTCTGGCCCTGGAGAATCGCGCAGTTGGCCGAGTTCACAACCTTCACAGGGCGAGTGTCGTACCTGCACATCAGGGTCGAGGAGTCAAACACACATCCGATCCGTCATAAGCATCGCAAAAACCTTTCAATCGAGGTAGTGGGTGGCGAGCTCATCTTATCTTATCATATCATATGCCTTGAATCACTCCGCACCTGACATATCATCGTTTGACTCGGACCGGTTCAAGTTGAAAAAGCCCCAGTGTGAGTATGCCCTAAGTGAGGAGCAAGGGCATCGCCACACCACTCCCGAAATGTGCAAAATGAGAATGAACTTCCTGCTTGAACACGGCGAGAAGCACCCGCCAAATTTCGAGAGCCGTGTGGCGAGGCCCCAACAGGGGATGAGCTAAAGAAAGAGCAACGACGATCTGAAATCAGAGCTGAGTCGGAAAAAGCCCCAGTGTGAGTATGCCCTACAAGCGGAGCAACAGAGGACGAATCATAGCAAGGAATCAACTGTCTTCGACAGGAAACCAACGGAAAAGAAAAAAAAAAAGGAAAAGATGAACAGGGTGAACGAAAGAAACGACCAACAAGATTGTATTTTTTGATTGATGGTGTTGAGGAGAGGGGATGCCTTACCCATCCCGGTGCAGAATATGGCCGCATTGGACGTAGATGGTATTGTCTCCCTTTCGGATGAGCTTGATCTTCGGCACGTTGTTCTGGTGACCATAGAAGTAGAAATCGCAGCCCTTCAGCGCCGTCTCGCAGGACGACGGACAACCGCCACAACCCGATGTCAGGCGGCGGAGACCATGGACGGATGGGATCGCGGCGCAGAGGGCAACGCAAACTAGCGCCATGGCCAGCAACACACTAGTGCTCGGGCGCGCCATCGTCTACCTACTTCGAGAGCGAGTGGGAGCGGGAGGCAGAGAGACGGNGCAAACTAGCGCCATGGCCAGCAACACACTAGTGCTCGGGCGCGCCATCGTCTACCTACTTCGAGAGCGAGTGGGAGCGGGAGGCAGAGAGACGGCAGAGGATCGAGCTTGGGGGAGAGACGATTAAGGCAAACTTAAGATGGTGGAGGTGGCTCACAGGTCTTCTCCAGTCCTATGGAGACCCACTCTTCCAATTCGACTCTACTGTACTCTGATCCTCCGCACCGCCATTGATTTGTATACAGTAGTACAGTGCGGGATCGAACTCGATGACATGCCATCCCTGCATCTCCGCCATCACCTAGCCTCTGTAACAACTCAGCGGCCTGGCCGCAGTGCTCGCCAAAGCCTAACATTCTTTTTTGCTTTTCGTTGTTGACATTCTCAACGTATAGAGACCGAATACTGTCCGGATACGTTAAACATGTTGAAGTTTGGCAAAACTCGAGCGGCGAGCCCCTCGTTAGATGAATGCGGCCCTTACCACACCACTCAGCAAATGAGAATGAATCTGCTCAACGAAGATGGAAAGGTACACAAAGGTACACCGTACAAGTTTTTGTCTCTTGTGCATTTTTGGTGAGTGGTGAGGCGAGGCACTGTAACTGCGAATTACCTGCTTTTAAAACAGCAAAAAAAATTAATTGTTTTGGGGGGGGAGGGAACTGCGAAATTCGTGTCGCGGGGGTCAGAAGGCTCGTCAATGAGGTGGAACTTGTCGTTCCCAGCAGCTGTTCCTGTTTTTTTTTTTCCTTTTTTTCCTTTTTTTTCTTCTTTTGAAAACTACGCTATATTCTTCTGTCAAATCGTCGATGGTTTTTCAAAAATTAATTCTTTCAATTCACCTTCACCACCTACCTACAACTACTCACGGGTTCGAGCTTGGCTCGGATCTTGGGGGGGTCCTTGGCCAGCTTACCCCGTTCTCTCCTCGATATACACACATGATGCTGCCTATACATCTCGCTACATTGAGTCACAGAGCACACACAGCCTTCGGGCATATACATGGCTTGCTATACATGAAGCATACACAGCCTTTGGGTATACACATACATTTCGAACTACACAACTATCAGACCGGGGGGGTCTACTCACTGGGTGGGGTCTAGTATCTGCGGTAGGGACAGGTATGGGCCACCGGAGTTCCTACTGATATTCCAGTAGAACTGACTAGTGGCTATATATAAGGCTTAGACCCTGGGGTAAGGGTAGGGGTATAAGTCGCTCAGGCCAGTCCGAGTTTCGCCTGGCCTTGGGTAAGCTAGGGGAAGGACGGTAAGACTGCTTCAAAGGGTGCTACCCTTTCTGACACCTAGGGCCCAGAGCTTCTTGGGGCCTGTAGTAGATTGTCTGGGTCTGGCGTCCGAAGTTCCCGTTCGACAAGGCTCGTCCAATTCGGCTTCCACCAGGGCTGGTCAACCTATCAGCCCTGGTGCCTATCACTGATGATAAGTCCAAGTTACCTGCCCATTAGTAGGGTAATGGTCCTGAGTGCTGGTCACACTTAGGTAGGATAGTGGGATACTGGGTGCAGTGGTGCACTAGGAGTATTGACGTGAGGATGGGATGGGAGGTGGTCTCATATTCCAGGACACCCACGGCCTGCTGCTCCAGGTGATCACTGTGTACACCATGTCTACAACACCATGAACTTAAAAAAAAAAAAAAAAAAAAAAAAAAAAAAAAAAAAAAAAAAAACTCCTCCTCCTCCTCCTAAGGCTTACACAGGGGACCCCTGTGAACATAGCTTTGTAGTCCCTCCAGCTATCAGAGGGGATGCATGCAATGTTACCCCCTGGCCGCAGCCGAGTTCGGCCGTGGCCGCGGCCGAACGCGGTCGATAATTTCGGCCGAGGCCGCGGCCGATCGGGGAGGGGGTTTGGGGGGCGGGGAACGGGTTTCGAGTCACGGAGGGTCCCCCTACCTCCTCGCAAAAAAAAAACATAAAAACTTCGAAAACGGGGGGGTGGATTTCGGAGACTACCGAAAACAATTAAATAAATAGATTTTTTTTTTTTTTTCATTGATTGACTGTTTTTTTTTTATTGATTGATTGATTGATTGATTGGTTGATTGATTGATTGATTGATTGATTGATTGATTGATTGATTGATTGGTTGGTGGGGGAGGGGTCCTCCC